AGTGCTTAATTTTTTCTAACATTCTTAAAATTGCCTATTTTCATGATATCAGCAGTCCAGTTAGGCAGTTTAAGAAACTTTTATATTTTTACCACATATCCATACATTTTTACATGCATTTTTATTACATGTGACAATCATTTAGCAGACAAAATTATACATAGGGCTAAAATATTTTACTAGAACAACAAAAAGTTTTTGTCAGCTTTGGTTCCTTACAAATTTAATACTAAAAAAAAAAAAAAAAAAAAATACAAAGGTCAATGTTTATACCCCTTTAATATTTTTAATGCAAATCACATTTAGTTCTTTTTTAACTTTGTTCCAAATACTGAAGAAGGACTAAATTAAGAACATTAAAATAAGGATTCCACTAGATTATTTTATGTCAGAACAAAAGGCTGAAACACAGTGATAACAACAAAGATGACAATATAAATAGAAATAAAAAAGGATTATCTATTTTAAATGCAGAAAGACCTTCATTTTTATCAATACTAAAAACCTACACAAATCAGTGTCATTTTGTATTTTTAAGAAATAAACAAATATTTAGGTTGGGAACCTAGAAAAGACATTTTGGGATCGCCAAAGAAAAAACCTTATCAAGAAATAAAAAAACTTAGAAACAAAGAAAAGTTTACTAAACTATATCAGTCCTCTTACATGACAGTGAATGCAAGACAATCACCTCAAAGATGAAGAAGATACCTGAAGAAACAGAAATGTGGTTCTATAGAAGGATACTGATAGCATGGACCAAACATTTTTATTTCAAAGAATTTCTCAAGGGCTACTAGCACAATGAGGAAAGAGGGAAAGACTTATATAGGGAAAAAAGGATAAAGATATTTAAATTTTGAAGACAGATTTCCAAAAGAAAGTACAAGAAAAGTAGAGTGGATACAACAGTAAAAAGGATCTAGATGAATTTAAATTCATGTACGGAGCATCAGGAAGAGACCTCATCAGAACAGCTTGTAGAAAATGGAAGGACTGAAGTCGAATATGTCAAGTTTACATTGCAGATCCTTCTTTGATTTTGTCAAGAACCTCAAAGAGAAAATAGAAACAAAAAGAAAACTTATACTTAACATCAGAAAGAGACCATTGGGATTTCTAGGGCACATAATGAGGAAAGAGGGCTTGGAAAATCTGATATTCACAGGACAGATTAAAGACAAGATGGATACAGGAATGCAACGCATAGTGAGCTTGAGTAAATGGAACAAGGTTTAGGAGAAATAATAAAGACAGAATTTATTATGAGCTACAAAGGACAGGAAATTTCGGAGAGCCATGATTGCCTACGTCCTGAGTGGACACAGCACATAGAGAAGAAAGAAGATAACAGTCAGTACTTTCAGTCATGTCAACGTTTCAACTAGTGACTTTTAACAAAATGCCTTACTGTGAGTTTAAAGAGATCATAATTCTAGAACTTTCTCTTTCGTATTGCCCTCTGTACACACATTTTTGCTTTCTCTTCGCTTTATCAACCAGTCATTAATGAACAATGAGATATTATATGTCATTCTTATATGAATTAATTCTTATTAACCAAGGCAGTGTTCTTTTATGTGCCATGTCTCTTCAGGACATAGGTGAACATGACTCTCCACTTCCTTCCGTCTCTTGTAGCTCTCAATAAGCTTTGATTTCTTGTTATTTCTCCCAGACCCTATTCCACCATGTCACACATTGCTAACCCTTGTCCCTCTATCACTCTATCCTCCCAGTAAGTATCAGATCTTCCAGGCCCTCCTTTCTCATTATGTGTCCCAGAAATTTCAGCTGTGTCTTCCTGATGTTAAACATGAGTTTCCTCTTTGCATCCTCTTCAAAACTTCATCATTGCTCACAAGTTTGGTCCATGGTATCCTTAGCCTCCGTCAGTAGAACCACACCTCTGTTGCATAGAGTCTCTTCTTCATCTTTGAGGAGACCGTCTAAATTTTGCCGACATAAAGGAGAACAGATTTCATCCAGCAGTTCCGCACCCTTTTCTTTGTTACCAATGAAACCCTCCTGTCTCGTAATACTCTGCCTAGCTTTTGGAATGCATCTTTGGTCATCCCAATTATGTTTTCGAATCAGCATTGCACTTAGCATCCTCTGGCAGTACATTTCCCAGATGTTTAAATTTCTGCACTTGATTTTAGTGTCACTGACCTGTAAATTGCATTTCGGGCTTTTTTTTTACTGATGACCAGGCTTTCTGTCTTGTATTTTATGTTTAGTCCCTTCTTCTCGCTCTCTTTTGCTACTTTCTGTAGGAGGTTTTGCAGTTTCCTTTCCATGTTGCTATCACTACTGTGTTATCTGCGTATCTTATGTTGTTAAGATTGTGGCTACCAATGAAAAATGCTGGTAGGTTTTCTCATTCTCTCAAAACTATCTTACTGTATAGGGTGAATAGGTCCGGTGAGAAGACGCATCCTTGCCTTACTCCCCTTACTATTTTTGTATATCTACTGAATTCATTTTTTATCTTTATGTAAGCAGTTTGCTGCCAGTATAGGTTTTAGATTATTCTAATGTCTTTCCTGAATATGACAAAGTTGCTGAGCAATTCCAACAGATCTTTGTCGCGTACTTTGTCAAATGCCTTTTACATAGTCTATAAAATGCAGGTGAACATTCTTTTGCATTTGTATTGCTCTTTCAGATGACATTCCAAGCATGAATATTGCATTCCTTGTTCTGGTGTTTTTAACAAACCTGCACTGTTCTTATTTTATCTCTGGCCTGATTCTGCTGCATGCTCTATTCATCAGAATACAAATGATGAGTTTTGTTATGTGGCTCATCAGGCTGATTGTTCAGTGGAGTTCACATTCATTTGCCCCTGGTTTCTTACGCAGTGCTATGAAAAGAGATCTGCTGAGATCTTCCGGTATATCACCACTGTTGTAGATTTCATTTATTATTTCTATAATCTTGTCTATTGCCAAATCCTCTAAGGCAGTCTGAATTTCTGTTACAATTCCGTCTAGCCCTGCCACCTTGTTTCTGTTCAATTTCACCAGTGCAGTTTCTACTTTAGTTTTTAGAATTTCAGGCCCGTCGGTAGTTCTGTGTATTGCTAGTTCTCTTTTGTCATGGAAGAGTATTCCAATATATTCATTCCAGCACTGAAGAATTTTTTCTTTCTCTAATAGGAGTGTTCCATCCTTTGATTTTCTGCAGCCTGTTGATGAATAGGTCTTCTGTCCTGTTAGTTGCCTTTTGTTTATGCATATCTCCTTTATTAGTGATACTCAATCTCTCTATTTCTGCACATTTTTTGTTTAGCCATTCTTCTTTAGCCTGCCTGCATTTGGTCCTTATTTCTTTGTGTAGTTTTCTGTATTTCATATCTTGGCAGACTTTTCTGTCTCCTTTGCATTATGTTGAGAATCTCACTAGTCATCCATTTTTTTTTACTTCTTTGTCTATTCCCCTTTAGAATGTTAATGCTTGCTGACGTCACTAAAGCTTTTCTTAGCATGCCCCATTTGGAGTTTCCATTTTTGTCCCTCACATCTACTCTTCACACGGTCCATATATGTTTTCTTCAGGTTCAGGTTACTCAGGAGTTTGTTGTATTGCAATTTGAGTACTGTCAGGCTTCTTTAGTTTCTGTAGTTTCACTCTTAGTTTACATATAACAGGGTGATGGTCACTTCTGCAGTTGGCACTTTGGTAGATTTGGCAGTGAACCATAGGGTTCCTGAATCTTTTGTTGATATTTATGTAGCAATATCTGTCCAGGTTCACCTTGATACTAGTTGATATTTATATTTTTTTTTTTTATCATTTCATTCCAAGCAAGGCAACTGTTCTTTTTATAGGCATTTCACATTACTACAGTGGTTCATAGCCGATTCTATTCAGTGCCAGGTTTAATTTTTTAATGTAAATTGCTTTGAATTTGTTATCTTGATGTAGGATAGTTGTGTTATCAATCAGTATTTTTTATACTGTGAATGTGAACAGGAATGTTGGTGAAGTGGTTTCACAATAGACAAATGTTCAGACATATGTAGTGTAAGACGTCTTGTTAATACAGTTGCCGTATACCCAATTTGTTTTTTTTTGTCGGAGATACATTCTCCCAAGGTACATTTGAATTGGTTCATAATGTTGGTTTTATGTAATACATCACTTGGTGTGGGAGAAGTTATTGTGAATAACTAAATTGGTTGTATTGTATTTTTGATAATATATGATTAATTTTTTTTCTTTTTTCATTAGAATCCATGTATTGGTACAAATGAGGTTTTTTAAAGATTTTTTTTCATCCTGTTTGTAGCTAGCATGCATCTGGTTACAATATAGGAGTTTTGATATATTTCGGGTCCTTTGAGGAAGTACCATATTCTATTTGATGTGTGTTGAGGAGGTTTTAGATATATTGTTTTATTTGTTCATCTACAGTGTGGTTTCTCCAATCAGGCATGCCTAAAAGAATTTATTGCCTAAATACACTAATATATATATCACACACTATGGAATGGACAAAGTCCGACAATTATTTTAATATATTTTATTATTATACATTATTTATATAAACCCAAATATTTAAGTAAATGCTCTGTTTATAATAAACAGTATTAACAACATTTACTGGCCTGAACGTCCAAGAAATTTTCATAGAAAATGCGTGTCCCTCCCAACAAGAATCAAACCTGTTTCCTACATGGAAACATCATATAGCCTGATGTGCTATACCAGTTTAGCTAAAAAGGAAGAATCTGGTTAGCAAGGTCAAATTACTGCTTTTGGATTAAAAATGTCCAATGATTTCCCTTGAACGTTCATATCTGCTCAAAGGATATCTAAACGTAAACAAATGACGTCACACACTATAAAATGGACAAAGTCCGACAATTATTTTAATATATTTTATTGTTATACATTATATATATATATATATATATATATATATATATATATATATATATATATATATATATATATATAAATAGAAAATAGGAATAAAAAGGTTTTCAACTAACCTTAACATTATCGGAATTTTGTTCTTCGGTGCTATATAATCCTTGCATAAAACCAGTTGTATTAATCACCTGTAAATAGAAGATGAATTGTTTTGTAAATGAATGAAAAAAACATCATTTATCCATTACATAACACAAATAATCAGAAAACTATTAATATATATGCAGCAAGAAAATGCATGCAAGCTATTAAATAATGATTGTGTGAAGTTTTACAACATATAATAAGCCAATTCTATTCATGGAATTCCTGACCCTTTCTTCCAAATTCTCAATACAATTCTATAGTAAAACCATTACCTATGAATTTATACAAGTCCTATTTTGTTGGTAATGTTTGCATTAATTCTTGACTACTGACAATACCTTTCCTCCTGATTTTTTATGTACAGTAAATTCATTAACAAAGCATTTATGTTATATTTAATATCCCCACTATTTCAATTAAAACCTCTTTTTTTTTATTTCACCCCAAGGAAGACATTAAAGCCATTAAGATGCAATGAGTGTTACAAAACAAGAGGAAGAAATACTATTAAGGAGAGAGAACAAAAAAAAGAAGAATTAAGAAGACAGTAGATATTGATTGACATTCCATTTAAATTTTGGAAGCTCAAAGTTGACTGGAAGCACCAGAAGAGTTTCATAAGCATAGAAATGATGCTTACATATAGTAATTTCAACTGTAAATTGGTAAAACGTTGCTGGCAGTCTAGTACTGCATTTAAATTCATAAAGTCTTGGTACCATAGAGGAAAGTTCATCAGAACAATTACCATGAACGTATTTATAGAAAAAGCACAGCTATATTATGGTGGTGGGAAAGTGACTGAAGTCAAGATGCTACCTCAAAACCAATAACATTGCAGATTCTTCTTTGAATTTTATCAAGAATCTCTAAATACATAGCAGGAGCACCTAACCAGATATGGCAACAATATTCAAAGCATGGAAAAATGGTAGACTTATAAATATTTAAGATAGATTCAGGTGAGAAAACTTGCCTGGCATGACACATTGAACCACCTTTCCTAGCTGCAGAGCTAGCAGTTGATTTAATATAATCTCTCCACTTCATGTCAGTGGAAATGTTAGTCTGAAAAGGTGCAATGAATCACATTTTTGGAGGTTAGTATGGTTTTAAATGCATTTCTATAGTAAAATTGTTACATTATATATAACAATCTACTATGTCGATAACACTTGCATTAATTCTTGATCACTGACAATTCCTTTCTTCGTGATTTTAAATGCATTTCTACAGTAAAACCATTAGCAAAGCAGACTAAGATCTCCCTAGCTCCTGCACAGACCTGTAGCTTTCAGTGCTACATCATCATTGTGTCTCTTTAACACCTACAGAATCAACTTCAGGTTGATACTACAACTGGGATGTGCAGACATTAATCACAGTTTCTGGGATAAATAGTACGAAATCTAGCATGATCAGTAATTGAATATGACCAGTACACCCAAACCCTCAGTCACAATGACTTGTGACTTCATGTAAGCACGATTGCTTCTATCAAATGGCTTGGGTCAATCTGTTGTATAGTTTTCAGGAATTTCGTAATTGTCCTATACCCTGTGATTGTCTCACAGGGCAGTATTATTTTAAAAAATCATCTCTTTAACAAACTGACCACAGTGGGATTTAAAAAAAAAAAAAAAAAAAAAAAAAAAAAAAAAGAGCTCCTAGTTGGAACACTAATGTTTCAACCACTTATCTATGCACCATATATATATATATATATATATATATATATATTTGTTGTGGAGTAAAGAGTACACCCCTGGTGACTAAATGAATTTGTCCAATATTATAAAAAGTTCCAGGGTATAAGGTCATAGCAGTCATATTGGAGTCAGTCTTCTTACTAACTATACAGGCATTACGGTAATAGCCTAAGCATTACATAGAGAAAATATTTAACAAATTATATTATATGAAGTACAAGTGTGTATTATAACAATAATCTTACAGTAAGGAATTATAATAGTTGGCAACAAGGATATACTCTAACACAAGTACAGAATAAAATGGCAACATTAGAACTGGAGTTATAATAGTGGATGACTAGATTTTCAAAACTCATATGTATGCAACATGAGATACAAGAATTTCAATCATGTTGGTAAAAAAAAATTTGCAGATATGGAGAAAATTTTGGCTTCAATAGTTGAAATTCAACAACAACAAAATATCCAACAGTTGCAAAAACAACAAACGAGTTGTTGGATGTGGATTTGAAGTAAAATGCTTCAACGTCTCTTATGCCAGACATGGTGCAAAACACTGTATCAGAATTCATATCCAATCCTGATTTGGGACTGACTTTTGCTGCGTATTTTCACAGACATGAAGAAATATTTGGTCAGGAATGCAGTGGCTAGGAGAGAAGATAAAAAAACAGGTTGTTGTTAGGAAAAAATAGCGCCAATAGAGTATGAAAAGTACTGCAATTATATTTTGCCAAGAAAACCAGGTCAAAATAGGGTTTGAAGACACAGTACACATTCTGACAAAAATTTTTAGTGACAAGTGCTCTCTATTCCATGCTTGTTGGAGAGGCATGAGTTTAATCGAAAAAGGGGATGAAAACTTTGTCACATATGTGGGTACCGTCAACAGAGAATGTGAACAATTTCAACTAAAAGAAATGACTCCGGATATGTTCAAGGGATTAATTTTCATGTAAGGTCTAACAGCGGAAAAAGATGCTGAAGTACAAACAAAAATTTTAGTAAACATTGAACATAATAACAACATATGATTACAGGAAATAGTAGATGATTGCCAAACAATGCTAAGTCTGAAACATGATGCTGAAAAACTTCAAAATAAAGACTGTGCATTGGTAAAAGCTAAGGAAAAATGCACAAAAAAGAATATAAAACCTTGTTCCAGATGTGGAAAATTACATCTTGGCTTTCCCAAGATGTAATTTTCCACATCTGTCCATGAGAAAAAGCAGAATGCTACAACTGTGATAAAAAAAAAAAAAAAAGAACATATCAAATGACACTACAGAACTAAAGCAAGAAGAAATTTTCGCAGGAAGAAATTAATACACGATATTGCAACGGAAAAAAATAAGCACTTGAAACAAAAAAAACTTTGTTAATGTGCAAATCCATAATGTAGGAGTAAAAAAGTTACTATATACTGGTAGTGACATTTCAATAGAAAATGAAACCACACAGAAAGAAATTGGAAAACCTTTATTGAAAAGGACTTACAAAGTCGCTATTTAGTTTCTGGTGAGAAATTATTGGGGTGGGGTGGGGATGAGGTAATTAACATGTGATGTTTATTTTAAAAATAAGCAGGTGAAAACAAAAGCTTATGCTTTAAGAAATGTGATGAATCTATTCAGTACAGACTGGATAGAACTATTTGAACTGTGGTATTTGGCAATAAACACTAATAATAAACAAAATGTAAGTGAACAAGTGACAAATTTAAAAAGTCGCAGCAAAAATCTTAAGGAAGATTTAAAAAAATATTTTCCTGATGTTCTGTATAAGGAATGGAGTCAGTGTTCAAAATTCAAGATGAATTTTCAAGTAAAAAAAGGTTTGAGGCCAGTATTTAAACTGAAACAGAGAGTATCATTTGCAGTATTAAAATAAGTAAATGATGAGTTAAACTAGAAAGAATTGATGTATTGAAGAAAATAAAACATTCAAAATGGGCTGCACAAGCAGCGTGTACATAAAGAAAAAAAAATTTTTTTAATTTGTGTTTGCACGGACTTCTCAACTGGATTAAATAGTTGTCCCAAAACAATTACCCATTACCAAAGAAATTCTTTTTAAAGTTGAATGGTGGAAAAATATTTTCAAAACTGGATCTCTCTAAAGCCTATTTACAAATTCAGATTGAAAATCAATGCTTTGAATTAATGACCATAAATATGCACAGTGGTTTATATAAGTTTAATCGACTTCCTTTTGGCATAAAGGTGGCACCAGCTATTTTTCAACAAGCCATGGATACCATGCTGGTGGATTGCAATTTTGCAGTGGCGTATCGGGATGATATTTTGATCAAGAGTATATCAAAAGAAGAACAAATTAGGCATGTCAAAACAATTATGCAAAAACTAAGAGAATACGAATTCAAGCTTAGTAAAGAAAAATGTGAATTGTTTTTGCCAAAAATAAAATACCTGGGTCAAATTATTGATAAAAATGGTAGGACAGAATATCCAATTAGAAAACGTAATGTCACAAGCTTTTTCAGGATTGGCTAATTATTAATGAATTTATTTACATAATATACATAACTTGACAGCTCCACTTAACAATCTATTGAAAAAAGGAGTAAAGTGGAAGTGGGATCATAAATGTCAAAAAGCTATTGACAAAATTAAAAAATGTCATGTCTGATTTATTGTTAGGGCACAATGATCCAAAAGCAAAATTGTAGTGGCATCAGCTGTAGTGATAGAGTGGTGATTTTACACAAATATGATGGTGGTAAAATTAAATATTTTGCTCATGTTTTACACTCACTTCTACTGGCAGAGAGAAATTACAACCAAATAAGAAAAGAAACTCTAGCAATCATATTTGCTATAAAGAAATCCCATAAATTTATTCATGGAAGAAATTTCCCATTGGAAATAGACCATAAACTGTTATTAGCAATATATGGTTCAAAGAAAGGTATACGTACAGCTAACAGATTAAACCGCTGGGGTACCATCCTGCTAAATGATAATTTTACAATGATGTACCAACCATTTTAAAAAATTTGGACATTATCTAGGTTAGTACCTAAAAATGTAGAACCATTAGAGGACACTCTTACAGCAGCACTAAAAAGTGAGATGGAAATTAAAAACATTCTGCGCAGTGTAGTATGGGAATTACCATTTACACTCGATGAAATTAAAGAAAAGCAGAAAAGGACATTTTTATTGCTAAAATAAAAGAAGCAATTAAGAGAAACTAAGAAAGAACAGAATCAAGAATTGAACGTATACTCGATATGCGATGGTGTTGTACAAACAAAGAATTGGAATACCAAGTATGTTACAGAAACATATATTAAAGGATTTTCA